AAGGGAGCCACCGCGAATAAATATATATGCTACATAAAAATAATGTATTTGTGCCTGCTAAAGGAAAAAGTTTCAAGCCAAATGAGAATATGGTCTAAGTAAATGAGTTCCTTAATCTCTCCTATTGCTACCCCAAAGACCCCCTTTTATGGAAATTCCAGAACCATCACTGGCTCCAGGAAGGATGTGATACTAATCTAAACCCTCTCCCATATATGCTGGTGTAAGCTTAAAATTCTACTAGTTTTCTTCTGTTTCCAAACAAGATGGGGTTATAGGGACCAGATATACCCTCCCACCTGAAACAACAAAAACTGGACAAACTATATTCAAAAATAGCTTTCAAGACATGAGACATCAGGCCACAAAAGACAGTGAGCCCTGAGAGGTGGGAAATAATCAAGGTGAGACCTAATGATCGCCCTAGTTTACTGCCTTGAAAAAGTTTCCCGGCTACATTATAGGGAGGATGTGATAGACACTGTGGTGATGGTTTCATAGGTGCACATACATGATAAGATGTATATGTACAGCTTATTGTATGTCAGTTATTCCTCAATAAGGCTGTTAAAAACCAAATTCTATTAATAAAGCTTCTTTACTGGAGCTTCTGGCTTTGATGCCTGTTAAAATGAAAATCCCACTAAGGGGGTAACAATTTTAAGTGTATTATTAAATTATCACACTATGGTGTCAATAAAAACCCAAGCACAAAATTTTATAGGAACAGCAAGCATACTTACTAAGGAAGGCTAGAGGGAGGACTGCACAGAGAAGGGAGGAAGAGCACAGAATGGGGGAAACACAAACAAACTTGACCACCTGACAAGTCTGTTGAGAGGTGGAACCAGCAGGAGTGGTCCATTGCAACTTTCGGTGGATCTAAGGAAATGCGTGGCAGTAGTTTTAACTGCTACAAGAAATAGGGAGCATTACTGGCATTTAGCAGACAAGAGCCAGGGAAGCTCAAGTCCCTCAATGCGCGGGACCATTCTGCATGACCACAAATGCCAACAGCACCCCATGGAGAAACCCTGGGGGAAGGAGTTCACCTGCACAGGCTACTTGTCCCTTTTCCAATACCAGCATCACAGAGGGGTCTCGATATGCGTTTAGAGCTATGGTTTGCAATGCTAAAGAGAACACTTACTAGTAAATCCTGTCTTAGCCGGTAAGCTTTTCTGATGTTCTAGCTTCTTATAGCCAGAGCCTCCAAAGCCTTGAGAATTCTGACAGGACAAGAGACATTTTTAAAGCTAACTCCTTAAACTCTAATTTAAAAACCTTTAAGAAAAGTACTGTAGTTACCGTAGCCAACTTTCCACCAGTTTTGTTGTCCAGAATAATTGGTTGTAAGGTTAAAGTTTTATAAAGCAAATTGCTAATGTGCTCCCAGTAAGAAAAAAAAAAACTTCCTAAACCAATTTTTCGGGGGGAGGGGTGTTGAGAAAGGAAGTCATCATAACGAAATTTAGGTTTAGAAGAGACTTTGTATGTCCTCTTGTTCAAACACTGAGAAAGGTGAGAATAAGAGAATGTGTGGTGAGAAAAGGCTGCTCCCCAGCAACCTAAGCAATACAGCGTGTACAGCACAGGTTTGAGAATACTCCCCAATCAGGAGTTCACTTTTCCTGTACGGTACTGTGCAATGCTTTCCTACCTTGGATATTTCCCACTTCCCATGAGCTGTCTTTCCAGGCCCCAACTCACATTAATTTTCCCCATGCCCATTCATCCCTCGACTGGCAGCTCTTAGAATCCTATGCTCCCCTCCTCTTTCTAATGTCTAGGTACTAAAAGTGTGTAATAGTACAGTACTTCAAGTTATGCAAGTTAGAAAACTCCTTTTTAAGTTTACACCCATACTTCTCTCCTACCTTCCAGACTGAAATTTCAACTGCCAGGTGAACTTCTCCTCCAGATGAGGCCCACCAGGACCTTAAGCTTAACCTGTCTAAACTAGTACTCGGCCTGATCCCTCCTGGCATCCTTATTTCTTTGAAGACCATCACCATTCAGTCACCCCAGCTTGAAACCATAGTGCTTTCTTTCTCCATCTCTCCCATTTTCAGTTAATTGCCAGCCTTGTGGATTCTGCCTCTGAAATCTCTTCTATCCATCCCTTTTCCTTTATTCTTGCTATCACTAGTCTAGATTCTCATTACTTCCCACCAATCTTTGGTCTCTCCCCACTTCGATCCAATTTAAGCACAATTGTGAGATTATCTTTCTGTATTAATGATTTTTATGATAACATTCTTCTGCTGACAACTTTCAATAGTTATTTCATTCTGTGAAATAAAATGTAAAGTCTTCGCCTGGACTTTTAAGACCCTCCAAAGTACGGGCCCAATTTCACTTTCAGCTTTAGTTTTAAATCACACTGTACTGCTTACTGTTCCTAATACATGTTCCATTTTTCCTGCCTCTCCTTCCACTATTCCCTCCATCTGCAACACCCCACATCTCCATTACCAACTGTTATCTGGCATCTTGACTTCTCCCCACAACTGAATATAATCTTACTCCTCTTTACATCTCTTTGACAAATTGCTCGAACTCATTTAGGACACTTAGTGTGAGTGCTTTGTATTATCTTTATCTATGCAAGTGTTATATATCTGGTTAGAATCAGCTTCTCAAGGATAGGAATTACACCTTACTCATCTTTGTAAATCCATTATAGGGCCCAACTTAGTGCCCTGCACAGAACGAGAGCTCAATAAATTGTTTTTTTTAACTCAATTTTAATCAATTATTCATATTGTGACTTTATGTATTCAATTGAAATGAGAAAAATTATACTTTAGTATTTAACTAACTGGATTTCAATTTAGGAGAAAGTTCTCTCAAGGTACCTTTCATTATTGCATATATGAGATAAACAGAACTCAGTACAAAGCTGTTAGTAGAAGAAAAGCATTAAGAAAAACAAACTGCAGTGTAAAATTAGTCTGGTCGGCTAGTTAAACACATACTGCAAGCAGCAATCTCACCTGAGAGAGGATTCACTCAGACTTCTAGGCTCTTTGCCTCTTCGAAAGACAGGACCATTATTCTCTTCCTTGACTTAAAAAAAAAAGTTATTTAGTCATTAATTAAATAATTTGACTGCATTTATGAAGACGACCTATTCACATGTACTGATCTGATGACTGTTAATAAATTCTCACAAAAACTTGCAAGTCCAAAATTATAATCTGGGTAGCACAATGGAGCAAAAAAAACTCTGGCTTTGACATTAAAACGTGATCACGTTCAGACTCTTCCAATAACCACCTGTGTGGACTTTACAAGTTACTTTATTGCTCTGGCCTCAGAATCTTAATTTGTAAAAATGAGGATGATAATTTTGTGAATGAAAATGAGATAATGTGAATAAAAAGGACTCGTGTGACCCTTGACAGAGTAGGTGTGCAATAAAATTTAGCTTAATATAAAGTAAAAATCAAAGAACCAGTCATAACTTACGTCAAGAAAACTGGCATATCCTCCCCTTACATAAGTGCATTTTGTTTGTTTATTTGGGGGAATAAGTAATAACAGTGACTAATAAGTATTCTGGACAAGAACCAAATCTACATTCCCATAAGCTACTGCAAGAGGTCAGTATTAGCTACACATCCTAACCTCCAGTGGAAACAGCGTTCCCCATCCAGCCTCCTCCCAGCTGCAGAAGAATTATGAGTTGGGCATGCACAAGCCATCCACAGGGCAAGAGAGGGAAAGACAAAGACGGAAAGCCCTCATTCCCACAGAGAATCCCTTTTAGGGACTTCCTGGCTCTCTTAGCCGTTTCCTTCCTTGGCTTGCTTGCTTTCCTTTCCTCCTCCCTGTATTTTTTCAACTTATTTTTTTTAGGTAGAATTTACATGAAATGATATGCAAAATCTTAAGTGTACTTTCACTGAGTTTGACCATTTTCTTTTGAACTGCTCTATGCAGCTCTTTTCTCTCACTTTTGTGTGTCTGAGAGGAGACCAAGACACCTCCACATCTGGGAGACAGAACTCCCTTGTTCTAGAGGGCCGAAGGTGATGCGGGGTGGAGTCTATAGAGACATAGAACGTATGGGCCATTATGGCTTGCTCTGGTCTAGGTATAAGAGGTCAACACAGCTCCCTTGACGTCCAGCATAGTTTGTCAAAATCAGAGACCACTTAGGGATTTGAGGCAAAAAGACTGATAAACAAAAGCATTCTTGGGGAAGCTGCAGCTGCAACAGGTGACTGTTACAAGAGTCAAGGTGTAGTGGTTGCTATGATCTGAATGTGTGTGTCCCCCTAAAATCTCCATGTTGGAACCCAATACTCAATGTGATAGTATTAAGAGATGGGGCATTTTAGGAAGTGATTAAGTCATGAGGGCAGAGACCTCAGGGAATTGTGCCTTATAAAAAAGGTTGAAGGGACCACCCTATCCCTTCCACCCCATTTGACATGTGAGGACACAGCGTTGGTCCTTCCACCATCGGAGAACGCAGCAAGAAGGTACCATCTTTGAAGCAGAGAGCAAGTCCTCACCAGACACTGAATCTGCTGGTGCCTTGATCTTGAACTTTCCAGCCTCCTCCTTCACTGTGAGCAATAAATGCTGCTGTTTATCAATTAATTACTCAGTCAAAAGTATTTTGTGATAGCATCAGGAAGGGACTAAACCATTGGTCATCTGTTGTTTTGTCTTCTCAGCACCTCCCTTTTTTGAAGAACTGTCCTCTTTCTACAGTTACTGTGGGGGCACCCATCTTTAAAAAGCAAACAAATTTCTCCTCCCATGAAATGAATGATGCTTATGCGTCAGTGCCCCTCACTTGTATGAATTCCTTCCAAAGTCTTAAGAGAGGCCTTAACAATGTTCATGTGGCCAGATGTTTTTATAAAATATGCAAAGAGAAGACATTTCAACCACAATCACTTGAGACCACAGGCTCTTCCCACTTCAATTTTCCTTCTGTCTCACATCTCCTCTTAGGAGTGGCTGTAGGCACTTTGTGATTTCTTCCATCCAGGTTTCTTTGGAGACCTGCAGCCATTGTATTGGGGGTTTTAACTCTTTTCTTTTAAGGTAGGCTTTCCAAATTGTATGAGTCGTCACAAAACCTGAATCCATGCCTGTCCTAGCCATAGCTGACTAGTCTGGAGGTGGGCCTGTGACTCAAGCTGGGCTGATCAGTGTCTTCCCATGGAGTTGTGACATTTGGACCTGAGAGACAGAGTTAGGAGCCTTTGAAGCTGGCAGGCCCCTAGAAGGTTTCAGGCTGCTCAGCCCCTGAAATAGGCCCTGGGTTTTTGGTCTTCCACTGTTTGACTCTTCTATTTACCTTTTGATTCCCTAAGAAACTCCAAAATCTTTCCAACAAATTTCCCTTGACATTAAGATAGGCAGAATCAGTTTTTTCTCTTTGCAAGCTAAGGCCCTATAAGACCCCAGTCATCACAGTCACTTCTAACAGTAGGCATTTTACAAATGTTGGTACTAAATGTGACACAAATAATGCCTTTAATTATTGCTGGAATTAAGAGGACATATTAGCATTTATTACCCATAGATCAGTCAAGTTTGAGCTTATCTCTTACTTCAGGACCACATATTCCAGAATGTCTAAAAGGTGCACCCCTGGGTGCTGGGAATATAGCAATATCTAACCCAGGGAACAAGCAGCTTGGAAGAGGACAGGAAATACAGAGCACATCACTGCTGGCATGCTGGAAATTGGGAAGGGATCACTGAGGCTTATCTATTAGGAAGTTGGTACTACCTAAATAATCATCCTGTACCTACTTTTAAGTTGTCTCTTAAAGCTGATTTCATCCAAGTTCACTAACCTAATTTGAATTCTCTCTTTTCTGTGTGAGATCACTAAAAGGTTGTGACAAAACACCAGTAGTGCCAATGTCCCCACCTCCGTGTTAGCCTTACATTTTAATTTGTAACGATGGTGGGGAGAATCCTAGGATCACCTGTGCTCTCCACTCAGAAGTGTTTCTACACTTGGTAGAAATATCCGCTCTCCTGGACACCACTGACCAGAGTCTGGGAGGTATAAGGTAATAATGACAAGAGAACCTGAATACGGAGTCATCTGCCACTGTATTCTCCGGTGTGCGTGTAGCAGTCTACACTCTTCTTCAGTGGCTTAGATATGAAGTCCTTCAGTCATTTAGAACAGTGCATATCTGATGGAATGTTCAGTAGAGCTGGCCAGCTGAGGAACCTCTTTTGGAAGGGACACTACAAAAATAATGCATGTGCTTTCTCAATTGCAAGAGGTTCTATTATATTTGTCAAAGTCTTGTTCCTGGGGAAGACCATCAAACTTCCGCGTATAAAAACTATCCGCTATGCCTGAGAGACTCATCAGCACCTTGCTGTTTTAGTTTTATGCCATATCATTGGTTTTAGAAAATGTCTAGGTTTTATGTTTAAAAATAATTTTTTTAATACGTATAAAACTTTGGTTCAGTTTACATTTCATTAAATTATGTTTTATTCTGCTTTGAAGATTGGTCTATTTCACCTCATGCCAATATTTCAAAATATACCACTAAAGCCTTAAAAGCATTTCTATGATTCCAGAGCTTACTGAATATTTAGTAGCTACTAGCCACCTGTGGCTATTTAATTTAATTTAAATTAAAATTCAGTTACTTAATAGCACTAGCCACATTTCATGTGTTCAATGGCCACAGGTGGCCAATGGCTCCTGTATCAGACATAATTAGACTAGATATAGAATGTCTCGTTATTACAGAAAGTTCTACTGGATAGTGCTGTGCTAGAATGTACCTGAAACCAAGTGGTTAACAACCCAGTCCGTTCAAGCTTTAGCACCCAGACACATCACTGCTGTCACTCTTCTGTTCATTTAGAGTTCACAGCTATCCTCCTTCATCTAAATGTAAAAAGTACAATTCAAAGTGCTAACTGCGGCCCATATAAGGACACATGTATAATGGAGAGAAAGGTTATTTTTCCTTATATCTCCAGCAAAGTTGGGCCTAATTAGGGATCTATTAAAAGTATGATGATATAAACTATTTTTGCTATCAATGATTTGCAGTTTTCAGCTTCCTTTGTTCAGATGATCGAGTTGATTGGAGCATGAGCACCTTTGCCACATGACAAAAATATTCCCTAGGCTTTCACCCAAGAGATTTGGAGTCAGTCCTAATAATTATCTTTATTTAAATGATCAGTAGCTGGTGCATGCTGCCTCTCTAGGCAAGAGATCATCATTGTTAACATTAAAGGTTTAAGTCATAACTATCATCAATGGAGGTCAGACAGGTTTGAGCTTATCTCTTGCTTCAGGACCACAAATTCCAGAATGTCTAGGAGGTGAACCACTGGGGTCCTATGTATACTGCAATATGTAATCCAGGGAACAAGCGACTTGAAAGAGAAGAGAAGATATTGAGCACTGTTGGCATGCTGGACAGGGGGGATGTTTTTCATTCTGTAACATGTGCTGTGGCTTCTTGTGATAGTGGCAGGTTTGTGTTTTCAAAAGCCCCCCACAAAATTGTCAGATACCTTTAGGGCTGAGAGGAAAGAACACATGGGGGGAAGGTTTAATTCTATGAACATTCACGTGCAAGAACACAAGATAAACCCTTCACTGCTTTTAACATCATTTGCACAGTTTCTAGGAATTTAAATTTCATAAAACTTCTACCTGTTTTACTACATTCTTTTAATGTATGTTTTTATCTTCCTATACGTGTTTTTTAAAAGCCAAGAATAATTATGCTTGTGGACAAGGATAAATATGTATTTAAGGCAACCAACACCAGTTAGATATCCTAATTAGTGTGACAAGAGACCTGGTGAGCAACCAGGGAATTAATAAACCTGATAATTACAACTTCTACAAACAGTTTCCATGTCATAATGTGGCAGTGTGGAAAGGTACTTGTCATGGAAGTGTACAAACACCATTTTCACACACTTTGCTTCTATTCAATACTCTAAGAGGACCTGAGTCTGACTTTGCGTGAAGTCCAGTGAACAGTGAGTAGGTTGCTATGGGCTGGTCTAGCTACAGCGGCTGGACGCCAGAAGTAGAAAGACCCACCCAGGAGCCACTGGACCTTCATTCTTCCTTCCCCTCCTACACTAAGGATGTGATCTTAACTGGTGACTCCATGAAGTCAGTCACCCCAGCTGTGTGCCCAGTCCTGCCTACATTATTTCATGTAATACAACAATTCTGTGAAGCGTAATAGAGATGAGGAAATTGAGGCTCACAAAGGTTAAGGACATCACGCAGCCAGGAAATGTGAAAGTCAGGACTCAAACATGGGCTTAGCCCAACCCAAAGTCAGTGCTTTTCTTATCTGCTTTTCACCAACTCCCAATTAAAGAGATAAATACCTTAAAGGGCTCATATCTATACATCTATATCTACATAAATATATCTGAACTGCTTTTAATCACAATGGTTCTGACACCAAATGTGTGGGTTTTTTTCCCCCACCCAAAACCAATTCTCCAGACACCAACTGGGTGCCCTACAATTCAGTTCTAACATTAACTGCCTGGAGTTAGCACAAACCCTGTAGACTAAGGGCTCAGTCCCACAAGACTGCCCCCACTTCAGATGCCAGTCACCACCAATCACAACTCGCAGGTTTCCACCTATACTTCTGACCAACCAGCTATAAATCAGGGGTTCCCTTGAAGGTCACCCCAAAATATGCCACTTCAGCAGGTTGGTTACTTTGAGCTGAAGGCACTTGAGAAACAGTAGATTCAGGAAGGGCTCTCTGACCTTAAAGAAAGGCATAAATTTCTTGTGAGAAAGGTGACCTACCATGACCAAGAAGAAGAGAACATTCTTATCACCAAAGACAGGGAGTTGACACTGAGATGAATCTGTATAAACTTACTAAAATAAAATAACCCTTATCTTCCATTAGTTCCCCCGTATATTTCCCAGTCACTTTCCCACAGTCTACCACCCCTAGCCCAAACCACTTTGCCTTTGTCTTGTCATGTCTCCACAATGTATCATTCTTTGTTGAAATGGTATATAAGCCCTCAGGCCTCTCTGCTTCTGTGGGTCTTCATTTCTCTTCTATGAAGATGTATGTAAAAATGTTAACATCAAATAAAACATGTATGTAAAAATGTTAACATCAAATCCCATGCCATGTAAAAATGTTAACATCAAATAAAATTTGTATGCTTTTCTCCTCTTAATCTGCCTTTTGTCAGTTTAATCCTCAGGCCCAGCCACAGAACCTAAGAAGGTGGAGATAAAGTCTTTCCTCTTGTATACCACAATCCCTTCCTCAGGTACAATAATTTGCAAAAACAGCTCACAGAACAAGAAAGTGCTTTGCTTACTATTACCAGTTTATTATAAAGGATACAACTCAAGAACAGCTAAATGGAAGAGGTGCATAAAGCAAGGTATTGGGGAAGGGGCACAGAGCCTCCATGCTGTCTCCCTGTACACCACCCTCCCAGAAACTTGACATGCTCACCAACCACGGAACTCTCCAAACCCTGCTATTTAGGAATTTTTATGGAGTTTTCATTAGGTAGACATGATTGATTAAATTGTCCGTTGGTGATTAACTCAACCTAAAGCCCCTCTCCTCTCCCTGGAGGTCAGGATTGGGGATGGAGGCTGGGGAGGACTGAAAATGCCTACTCTCTAATCACACAGTTGGCTCCTCTGGCAACCATCCCCCATCCTGAAGCTATCTAGAGGCTCACCAAGTTAATTAGCAAAAACTCAGTTATGATTGAGAGGAGCTTGTTACGAATAACAAACAGTGTTCCTATCACCCCATCACTAGGGAAATTACAAGGGTTTTAGAAGCTCTGTGGCAGGATCTAGGGACAAAGACCAAATATATATTATTGTATCACAATATGTATATATAAAACAAGACCATGAAAATAAACAGTGTATTACTGAACTATATATTATATTCTATTTTTATCTATTTGTCCTTGGATTTTTAAAACTTCTTCCCTGGAAAAGCTTAGGAAAAGCCCAAAATGTGAAACATGGAGACCGAGTAGTTCTGGTTGGGCCAGGTGAGTGCCAGAAGTCCTGACTCCTTATCCTCCCCTTCTCTCCCCATCCTACTTTGGATCTTCTAGATCTCCTCGGACACAGTAGGAGAATCACGTGCATCATATGCTGAGTTCTCTAAGAACAAGATCTAAAGGTGATTTTTCACTTTTTATCTAGGTGTGTATCACAGTCCTTGGGTGGTGACAAAGATACTTTCCTTGACCAAACTCTGCTCTGAACTTTTCAACTAGGCCTCATTTTTTGGATTTCCATACTCCTCTTTGCATTGTCCAATTTTAGCAAAACTCCTGCCAAGTTTGTTAGCCAGAATCTCCCATCCTCCATTTATGATCACTTTCTATGTCTAATTGGGTTCCTCATCCTCCACCATCTCCAAGGGATGTCTGATCACCCAGGCCTGCCTTCAGCAAGAATACTGTTAGATCAATTTAGCTAGAATCCCCCATTACCCCTGATGTTTCTTCTTAGTAATTTTCTGTCTGCTAACCCTGCCCTGCTCCTTGGCTATAAATTCCCACTTATCCATGCTGTATTCAGAATTGAGCCCAGTTCTACACTGAGATCTTTTTTCTCCTATTGCAATAGTCCTGAATAAAATCTCTTTTTACCACCTTAACTACTAGACAGCTCTGGTTTTCTTTGATAGTGGAAAATTTTACAACAAATATTTTTAAATAAAGAACTAATGTTGTTAATAAACATAATAAACCATAATTATTGGGGCAGAACCTATGGCTCCCTCGCTGGTGGGAAGCTCAAGGCTTACAGAGATGACCATCAGGGGGTATCCTAAAGCCAGGTTCACAATCCTTCCACTTGTACCTTCCAATGCTACCCCCTGTACTTCTTCACCAGGTTTTTCATTAAAATCTGTGGATGTTAATATTATTAAAATTAAACAAGAACGGACAAAATGGAATCCAAATTTGAATTCATTCTTCTTTTTAAACCAATATTTAGTGAACACAGTTATTTCTTTCTTTTCCTTGTTCCTTTCTTCCTTCCTTTCTTCCCTTCCTGTCAACATACCCTTGTTCATGGCAAACTGTGCCCAGCCCTTGTGCTGCTGGTAATGAATTGGCCAGCTCACCTTCAATGTAAAGAACATTGTCTTTTTTTTTTTATCACAAAAGGAAACTTCTCTTTTCTTATGCTATTTCAAGAAATATATTACATACGTTTTTTGTTGTTAGCATTGGCATGATGAAATGGAAATAGAAACTTCCTGACACCTTTTGGCTTTTCACACTCTTTTTTCAAAACAGTTGAAGAATAGATGATACGAATGTGTTGGTTGACATCTCTATCTGGTGAACTCAAAAATTCTGGGTAATCATCAATCTGAAAAAAAAATAATAATAATTGAGCTTATTGAAGACAAATATGACCACTTACCTGTTCTGGGATAATAAATCTCCCAAAGCTAAGGGTAAGTTTAAACTGCATTCTTTCTTTCCATTTTCTCCAATGGGACATCTCTCCTCTTTTTGTTGTTAGGTTTCCCAATTCCTCTCTATTTGCTTTAGTTCTTACTGAAAATGTACTCAGCAACAAAACCCAAGAAACTATTTGTACTACAGGATTGCTAAATAAATAGTAATAGTGTTTTTATTTGTTAAACCATATACTCCCCCACTTCCATTTTGAAAATAAACTTTTTTTTAAAGAAAGGTCTCAAACATGTATAATTAATTGGGTTAAAATTAGGATTTTTCTATGCAGGAAATAATGTCCATTTGTAGGCAACAGTCTGCAGAGATTCTGTGACTACAAACATCTAGGTTTGAACTACTGGAAATGTCCTCTCAAAGGGCTGTTTTCTGTTCTTGATTAAAAACGGAAAAGGTCAGGGCCGGCCTGGTGGCGCACTGCTACAGTGCGCCGCTTGGGAAGCGCGGCGGCGCTCCCGCTGAGGGTTCGGATCCCACATACAGACTGGCCGCTCACTGGCTGAGCAAGGAGCGGGGGCAACACCAAGGGTTGCAATCCCGTTGCCGGTCCCGGTCCGGTACGGGCACGACACTGAGGGTTGCGATCCGTTGCCGGTCACGAAAAAAAGACAAAAAGACAAAAAAAAAAAAAAAAAAAGGAAATGGTCTTAATGAATACTTAGGACTGTTAGATCTTCTATTTAATAACCTACTTCCCTGGCTAGCAAGTAAGCTCAGTTGGTCAGAGCATGGTGCTGATAACAAAAAGGTCAAGGATTCAGATCCCTGTAGTGGCCAGCCACCAAAAAGCAAAAGAAAAAAAAGAAAAGAAACTACTTCCCTTTTTATGATAGGCAGCAATAGCATCTGATGAAAAGCTAAGAATAAGGCCAGAGAATCATCAGATGCACAACTAAAACCATTAATTCAAGAATAAAGAGAAATTCCTCACTAGACTTTTTGCAAGTACTTAGAATTTAGGTAAAAATGTTTCCTGTGACCACGTGGTTTCATATTTCTCTTTTCACAAATAAAAGAAGGAAATATCAAATTATAAAATTCTAAAAATCTGATTCAGAGTAACTGGAGATAAGAAGATGGATTAATGAAGAGCTATCAGGATCTACTCAAGTTCAATTTTTAAAAATGTTTTCTAATATATACAATAATTCAAACCAGCTAATAAAGATAGCCCAGGGAAGGTCTTCAGAGGATGTGCTTTATTTAATAACAAAGTTTTATAGTTAGTAAAGGAATTCATTTCTGCATAAAAGAGTCTTCAGGGCTGGCCCGGTGGCGCACTTGGTAGAGTGCGGCGCTTGGAAGTGTGGCGGCGCTCCCGCCGAGGGTTCGGATCCCATATAGAGACCAGTCCGCTCACTGGTTGAGCGCGGTGCGGGCACGACACCAAGGGTTGCGATCCCGTTGCCGGTCATGGTACAGGCGCGACACCGAGGGTTGCGATCCCATTACCGGTCACAAAAAAAGACAAAAAGGAAAAAATCGTATAACTTCGTATAATGTATGCTATACGAAGTTATTACGCTTTCTGGTGATTAAACGATTTCTGACATAATAGAGAATCTGACAGATTAACTTCGTGATTCCAATTTATGATGCATGATAGATTTGATTTTAAGTAGAAAGTTATAAAACATTTCTCTATATCCATGAACAGTACTGGAATGTGGAATTCATTATATCTATCTATTTATTAGATTTCTAAAAGCTTTAAAAAGTACTCGGAAAGTTTTGCTGACCATCAGGCATTTGAGTACTTGGAAAGAAAAATTAATAATTAAATTTTAAAAGAGTGGTTTTTTGGGTGGCTTGCCAGTACAGGTATCCAAACCCTTGACCTGGTGTTGTCAATATCATGAAAAAATAGTTTTAATATGTAACTAAGCTCTTAAGGGAATTCAGGGTTTATGAGGGTTGAGTTTATATTTGAACCAAGCACCAAAAGTTTATCAAAGAAGTGAAGATGAATACTATTTGATGGAGTTTGGATGTGTTGTCGCCTCCAAAACTCATGTGGAAATTTGATCTCCAATGTGGCAGTGTTGGAAACTGATTGAGTCATGGGGGTGGATCCCTCATGAATGGATTAATGCTCTCCCAGGGGGAGGGGGGATTAATGAGTGAGTTCTTGCTCTATTAGTTCCCACGAGACCTCATTACTTAAAAAGACCCTGGCACCTTCTCTCTCTCTTGCTTGCTTCCTCTCGCCACGTGATCTGCTCATACCCACCGGCAACCTGCCACTTTCTG